GAGAGAGAGAGAGAGAGAGATGAGGTGGTGAGATAACGAAAAAGAAGAGAGAGGGAGGGGAGGAGAGAAACGAAGAAGAGAGATTTTCTGGTATATCTACAAATAAAATATTATTTTAGGTAGAATTGCTAATATTTATAATAGATGTTTAATTTTGTAATAAAAACTTAAATTTATGGTGTAGGGAGTAATTTTCTCAAAAGCCTATGAATTATATACCGTTGGGCTGGAAAATTAATCTCAATTGGGTCGGGAATATAATACAAAGCAACAACAAGAATTTCCGTTCGATTCGATAGGCGACGAATAAATATACATTATACGAATTATTATATTAATTAGACGAAAATATGTAATACACACGATAATATTTGTTTATAAATAAATAATTAGGCAAATTGACATTTAATATGAATAACAATAATATTTATAATAATAATAATAATAGGCATTTAAAACAATTAGACATTTAATCACAAATAAATATTTATTATTAATAATAATAATTGTAAGAACATTAGCTTGGCATCATGTCCGACAAACCTAAGTGTTTTCTAGAAGATTTCTTGTTAAGCAAGCAAAATAAATTAAAGGGAAGTTTTTCTATTTATTTACATGTGATTTAATTAAGTTCCTAATATTTATTATTAATAATATATATGGTATATATTTATTGTAGTATGTATTATGGAATCCTAATCCTTTAGGAGAAGGATTACATAATATATATCTTATATATATACTTACCATATATGCCACATGCCATAATTAGTTCTCTCTTTCTTGTAGGACAAGGAATAGGTGGCAAGGACTATGAAAGGATGAGCTTTCCATACAAGAAGAGTTCTGGACGTTCATGAGAAGATCTAAGGAGGATTTGGAAAGATTCACCACGAGATCTTTGAAGATTTGGAAGATCGGCTATTTTTGGAAAGTCATGTTCTTACCAGATTCTTGGAACGCGTTTTTCCATTGGAAGCTCAATTTCGAAGATCTTCAAATCACATGCATGATTTCTACATCAAGGAAACTTACCTTACATGAAGGATTTCGTCCAAATCAGAAAGGAATCAATTGAGAAGGAAATTGACTCCTAAAAGGTAAAGGAAGAACTGTGAAGACTCCTTACCTTAAGGAGGTTGTATATAAGCCTACTCCTTACCTTTGAGAGTTTCTATTATTTTTATTTTATTCGGTCCAGTTTTTCAGCGTTCTTACATTGCTGAAGAACTGAACTCGTTTTGTTTCTTTTCTTTTACAAACACTTTATTTTAGTGCTTAGGGATTAAGTACTGGGTTTTGCTCGAGGGATTCGAGTGTGTAAAGTCCACGGGACGTGGCCGGAGAAGTAGTTGATAGGATCGTGTGTAGTTGTGGCTAGACTAGAAGGGAGTTCGAGTCGTGTAAGTCCAAACTATACAAGTGTGAACGGTTTATCAATGAAAGAGCTTTGAGGGGAAGTGGGGTGCTTCCCTGAAGAGTTTTAAAATCTTCGGTTTATTGCTTCCGCTATTTACGTTGTTTATCCACGTTCGTACTACATTTCGCGCACTCGCAAGTAATTATACGTTTCAATAATAATAATAATAATAATAATAATAATAATAATAATAATAATAATAATAATAATAATAATAATAATAATATAAATAAGCAATAATAATGGCAATAATAAACCAATAAATAATCCCAAATAATTCTAATTCAAACGGGGCGTTACACGGCCGGTTGACCCGTGGCCATGTCTAATTGTAGGACAATAGTCGGCATCATATACATGTTCAAATATATATCTCGTTGGTAAGGACTTCAAATATCTCATATAAGCATATATAAAGTTCACACGGCTGAAACACAAATGCAAATGTTCGACCATACTCGCAGCAACACATGCATATACAGTCAAAACTGCCAAGTGCCAAATTACAGCAGAAAAGTTCACATAACACAAACATCTCAAAATCTTAAAAGTCAACTTTGCAACGTTATGAAACACCTGGGCTCAACAAGCAAGGCATATATCTAGTCTACACAACTTTAGTTGAATAAGGTACTGTTAGGCAAAACTCACGAAAAGATCATATAGACAATCGAGGTCCTAACAGCACCGTAAAGCATATTTAACCGAATGGTATTGACAAATTTTTCAAACAATGGTCACTCATGTGAACAAAAGAGTTCGCTCAATAGAATCAATTTACCAACATCACAAAACCAATGATAAAAACCTTTCTTTTCCAGACACCAGCTTCAATCAAATGGCTCGACGTTATCAATGTTGTTTCCGTTTAAGGAAGATAATGGTTTAATTACCTTGAAATAAAACTGAAGATGTACAAGGGATATAAATACAAAGAATAATCTTTCTTGTTAGCCAAGAAAAGATCCCTACTGATCTAAACTACCTAAAATAAAAGATACAGAAGATACTAAAATATATTTACAACTAAGAATGAGATATTATCCCGAATACTCCCCCTCAAGTTGGAGCATGAAGATCTCGAATGCCCAACTTGCGTAGGAGAAAGTGAAAACGATCGCGTCCAAGAGCTTTGGTGAAAATGTCGGCTAGCTGAAGACGAGTGGGAATGTATGAGATGAGTAGTTCTCCAGATTGGATGAGTTCCCGAACAAAGTGACAGTCGATCTCGATATGTTTTGTTCGCTCGTGGTGGACTGGGTTAGCTGATATGTGGATGGCTGATTGGTTGTTGCAGTGCAAACGGATGGGGCCAGAAAGTGTGACTCCGAGTGAGGAAAGTAGGCTACGAAGCCACAGAAGTTCACTCGTGGTGACAGCCATGGAACGGTATTCGGCCTCCGCAGATGATCGGGAAACGGTAGTTTGTTTCTTAGTGTGCCAAGAGACAGGACAACCGCCAAAGGTGATGAAATAGCCGGTTGTGGAGCGCCGCGTGACTGGACAACTGGCCCAGTCAGAGTCACAGTAACCAACTAACTCTAATGAAGTTGGTCGTCGAAGAAAGATACCTTGGCCCGGACTATGCTTTAAGTAACGTAGTATGCGCGTGGCGGCATCCCAATGACTCTCCCGCGGCTGCTGCATGAACTGTGCAAGGAGGTGAACAGAATAGCATAACTCGGGACGAGTAATGGTCAAGTAGAGGAGACGACCAATGAGACGACGAAAACGTGCCGGATCCGTGAGAAATGGGGCCGTGGAGTCGGCCAAGTGAGTCCGCTGCTCCATAGGAAATGTGGCTGGTTTCGCTGCTGTGAGGCCACAATCGGATAAAATTTCTAGCGTGTATTTGCGTTGGGAAAGAAACAAGCCATCTGTTGTGCGGACAACCTCGAGGCCCAAAAAATTTTTTAGTGAGCCCAAATCCTTTATCTTGAAGCAACTAGCAAGGTAGGATTTGAAGGTAGAGCAACGGGCCGGATTATTTCCGGCAATGATGAGATCATCCACATAAATAAGGACCACTAATATATCGGCACCCGAGTGGAAAGTGAACAATGAATAATCAGCCTGCGACTGTGTGAAGCCATAAGTGCGAAGAGCAGTGGCAAATTTAGCAAACCAATTTCGGGACGCCTGGCGCAAACCATAAAGAGACTTACGAAGTCGACATACCAAATTAGGAATCAGAGAGGTGTACCCAGGTGGAAGACGTATGTAGACCTCTTCCTCCAAATCACAGTGAAGGAAGGCGTTATTTACATCCATCTGATGTAGGTGCCAATCTCTGGCCAAGGCAATGGTGAGGAGGCAACGGACTGTGGTCATTTTGGCCACGGGAGCAAAAGTCTCATGGAAGTCGAGACCCTCAATTTGGGTAAAGCCCTTTGCTACCAATCGAGCCTTGAAGCGTTCAACGCTTCCATCAGAGTGTCGTTTGATCTGGTACACCCATTTGCAACCAATCGGTTTCTTATCGGGAGGTAGAGGTTAGATCGTCCAAGTGCCATTGTCTTCAAGAGCACGAATTTCATCTGTCATGGCAGTACGCCAACGAGGGTCCTTGACTGCGACCGAGTAGGACCGTGGTTCTACCTCAGAATCCAGTGCAGCTAAGAAGGCCAAGTGAGATGAAGAAAAACTGTTATAATTGACGAAACGCTCATTGGGATAGACCATACCTGAAGAAGTAGATGGAGTGGGCTTGCAGCAAGAGGGGGTCGGCATGACCGAGTAACAATGATAATCGTCCAATCGGGCAGGTGGGCAGCGCGTGCGTTCTGGTCGCCGAGAAGGAGCTGGTGCGGCGGCGATGGGTGCCGAAGCTGCAGCTGGCTGGTGTGGGGATCCTGTCATCTCCGAGCTATCGTCCGAGTGGGTGGTGCCCTCATTTGGAGTGGCTGGATGGTGATCGGCGGGAGCAGAAGATGCGGTTCGAGTAACCGGTGGTGGCAACGGCGTCGGTGGGTCGGACGGGGTTGGCTCATCAGACAAAGGAGTGTGGTTAGGTGGATCGGTCGGAGGGATGAGTGTAGGTTGTGGCGTTTGAGACATGTACGGAAAATCATGTTCGTGAAAAATGGCATCTCGAGAAATGAAGACTTCATTTGTGTCGAGATCATAAAACTTCCACCCTTTCGTGCCATAAGGATAACCAAGGAAGACACAACGACGGGACCTAGATGCAAATTTGTCGAGTGGTCGAGGAAATGTTTTGGCGTAAGAAAGGCACCCAAAAACACGAAGATGATCATAAGAGACCGGTTTACCATGAAGTACCTCGAGAGGTGATTTTCTGGATAAGAGTGGTGTTGGGGTATGATTGATGACATGGGTTGCGGTGAGAACACATTCGCCCCAAAATTTTATCGGTAAATTGGCTTGAAAGCGAAGGGCACGAGCCACGTTGAGGATGTGGCGGTGCTTACGCTCGACGCGCCCATTTTGTTGCGGACTATAAACACATGATTTTTGGTGAACAATGCCCTTTTGATGAAAAAGATTTTGCAAAGGTCCTGATAGAAATTCTTTACCATTATCTGACCGAAAAAATTTGATGACGGTACCAAAATGCGTATGGACCAATGTGAAAAAATTTGATAAAAGGTTAAAGGTTTCTGATTTGTCACGCATTAAAAAGGTCCAAACAGCTCGACTGCAATCATCAACAATGGTTAAGAAATAGTGAGCCCCATAAATAGACTTTGTGCGATATGGTCCCCAAATATCACAATGTAAAAGAGAAAAGGGAGAGGTTGCTCGATTATCACTAAGTGGAAAAGACGAACGTGCATGTTTTGCACGATAACAAGCATCGCATGGATTCTCATGATCCTTATTAACAAGAGTAGGGGAAACTAAATGTAAAATCTTGTGGGAGGAATGACCTAAACGCCGGTGCCACATCTCGGGGGTTACTCGAATCGAACCTGGAGAGTTGGTCACAGTGGCTGCGGCAAACACGTCACTCGGCTCGATGCGATAGACCCCCACTTGTAGCTTACCCGCTCCAATCAACGTCTTCGAGGTGAGGTCCTGCAAAAAACATTGAGACGAGCGAAAAGTCACGTAACAGTTTAAATCCATCACAATCTTTCCAATAGAGATTAAGTTGCAAGTGAAGCCGGGTATGTATAAAACGTTATGTAATTTGAAAATTGGGCTAAATGAAACAGTTCCACGAAAGGTTGCATGAGAGATCGTTCCATTTGCTGTCGTGATGGGACATGGTCCTCGGATGGGCGTGCAATTCGTTAGGAGTTCCAAGTGCCCGGTCATATGTTCCGAAGCTCCCGAATCAAGAATCCATGATCGAGAAAAAGTCGTGATATTACCTTCGAGCGGCTGTGTGTCTGAAGGTTGGGAAGATGCCATTTTGACGGAGCCCAGAAGGTTGATAAGTTGTCGATACTCCATGTCGGTGAGAGTGTGAAGACCAGCCGCACTTCCTCCTGCTGCAGCGCCGTTGGTCTGAGCGGAATGGGCTGCACCAGGGCCGCGAGGAGCTGTAGGTTTGTTGCTGCCGCCGCCGTTTGGGCCGCCGGGCCGTTGTCCACGGCGGTTATTGTTTCTTCGGCCGGAGTCATCTTTGTTACGCTCCCAATTTTCCGGGTATCCAATCAACTCATAGCAACGGGATTTCGAGTGCCCCGTTTTTCCACAATGATCACAGATGTAGCGAGGCGCACTTCCTTTTCCTCCAGCAGCAAGTGCGATGGCATGGTCCTTGGGCGTCTCCTGGTCTCGTAGGACGGATCGTTGGCGTTCTTCTTGAATCATAAGAGAATATGCCTTGTTGATGGAGGGAAGTCGCTCCATACTGAGAATGTGAGAACGAATCGCACCATAGGACTCGGTATTAAGTCCCATAAGGAATTGGTGCAGCATCTCTATTTCTCGTTCGGCTGCGAGCCTTTTTGCTACGTCACAAGTGCATCCGACACACGTGCAAGTGACTGTGTCAGTGTAGTCGGCAAGCTCGTCCCAAAGGCCCTTCAATTTTGTGAAATATTCGGTCACACTTTGACCGTCTTGACGGAGCAAGTTAATTTCCGCCTTCAATTGGTGGATGCGAGGAACATTACCTTGCGAGAACCGCTCCTTTAACTCATCCCATATGGCTCGAGCATCAGCCGCATGGACAACGCTATTTTGTAGTGATTTGTCTAGAGAATTGAGTATCCATGAAGCAACTAAGCTATTGCCCATCTTCCACCAATGGTAATCGGGATGTTGGTTGTTCGGTTTCTAGACCGACCCATCTACGAATCCCGCCTTGTTCTTCGCATCCAGTGCACGTCTCACGGCTTTGGCCCATGTCGAGTAATTCTCACCGGTGAGAATTATTTGCGTTAACGGAGTTCCCATGCTATCGGACGGGTACATGTATAAAGGACAGCCGATTGCCGGCATCTTCGATTTCTCGGCCATGGCAGTGGTCGAAAAAAAAAAATTATATCGGTTGTATAGGTTTTCTTTCTGATACCATAAGGAAGATAATTACCTTGAAATAAAACTGAAGATGTACAAGGGATATAAATACAAAGAATAATCTTTCTTGTTAGCCAAGAAAAGATCCCTACTGATCTAAACTACCTAAAATAAAAGATACAGAAGATACTAAAATATATTTACAACTAAGAATGAGATATTATCCCGAATACCGTTATTTTGAAAACACGAATAAACATCTTTTACCATTCAGTCTGCCATTTATTCTAAAGCTAACCACTCCAGTTCAATGCACATCAAATCACGCTCTTAATTATTATAACATAATTTACGGGGAAATTCTATTGTAGGGCTTGACTTTTTGTTATTGTGTCATAATAAGGCCTAGATTTTTAACATTTTTTCATTTGAAGGTTTCAATTTTAAGTTACTCTCAATATAAGACCTACTTTTACATTCGAAGACTTGACTTTTTGTTATTGTAGGGCTTGACTTTTTGTGATTGTGTCACAATAAGGCATGAGTTTTTAATTTTTTTCATTTCAAGGTTTCAATTTTTAGTTATTTTCAATATAAAAGCCTACTATTACATTCTACTTTTCAATTGAAGACTCCAAATCATTTTGTATTTTAATATAATTATGTAAACAACAATACTTTTTTTTTTAAAATAAAAAAATATTTTTCTAAGTACTTATAATGAAGAATATTAAATATCTTTAATAAAATTATCCAATAAAATAATTATTTCATAATTTACCTTTATGCAAAAGCTTAATGAAATTTATTTTAAAAGATAAAAATAAATTTTAATTTAATTTTGATCTAAATATGTGAAAATATTAAAATAAAAACTATTTAGAAAAATAATTTTTTTTTAAATAAACTTATAGAAAATATTATTTGTGAATATATTTTCCAAAAAGTTAAGAATGTATAAAATTAATACTCGAAAAATCCTATTGTAGTTAGTTTTATTCACAAATAATTTATTCTATAAGTTTATTTAAAAAAATTATTTTTCTAAATAGTTTATATTTTAATATTATTATATATTTTGATTAAGATTAATTTTGAACTTTAAAATAAATTTCAATAACCTTTTGCATAAATGTAAATTACGAAACAATTATCTTATTAGATAATTTTATTAAATATATTTAATATTTTTTTCATTATAAGTACTTAAAAAATAAATTTTAAAAAAAATATATGAAACTACAAAGTGATTTGGAGTCTTAAATTGAAAAGTAAAATGTAAAAGTAGGTCTTATATTGAGAATAACTTAAAATTGAAATTTTCAAATAAAAATGTTAAAAATTTAAGTCTTATTATGACACAATAACAAAAAGTCAAGTCTTACAATAGAATTTCCCCGTCCCTGAATATGGTAGCATAGTCGGCCAGTTGATAAAGATTGTGGTCGAGGTGCAATTGAGTGAAACTCTTCATCGAGGTTCAAACATAAATTATGAAAAGAAATTGTTTGGGTAGACTTCATGTACGAAAATGTACAATTCTTTTGTTATTATAGTGGAACAATAGGACATGGGGAAATAAGTTGTACTCAGAAGAAAGAGGATATCAGAGGGGATGTGCTTAGTTCGGGTTAGTTTGGGTATTAGCTAGTTTCGGGAATTTTCTGGGTATTCATGATAAATCCCAACCTGAAAGGGGGTTCTTAAAATGGGATAATTAGGAAAAACCAGTGAGGAGGAAGGTTCAAACACAAGCCCAAATTCTAGTTTGCTTAAAAATTGCCCCTCAAGATTAGGTCTTAGCCCTAAAAGCCGTAATCAAGATTCTCAAGAGGGTGTAGTGTTTCCAGAACCAATGATATTCACTACTAGAAATTGGAGAATCAGAAACGGAAATTATTGTTGCTTAAGGGTATTTTTCTGTTACTAATACACAACAGAAACAAACAAATTCCGTTATATAATTTGTTAGTGAAAACAGGGTGGCTAATGCTTGGAAACGGAAAACAGTTCGTTACTGTCTGAAACGATTTTTGCAACAACCAAGATCGTTTCTAATGGTAGAGTAGTAGCAACCAAATCTGCAACTGATATATTCGTTTCTAATATTTACTAGCAGCAACCGAATCTGAAATAGAAATCTCCGTTACTAATCCATTTCATTAGCTACAATTTTTGTAATGGATAGTTTTGTTTCTAATGTGTCTATATTAGCAACCATATCATTAACAAAAAAATCCGTTGCTCATATTTTAAATTATATACCAAAATTATAATTAAATACTATTGTTTGATTATTTTTATTATCATTCAACAAATCTAAAATTCAGTACATTGAATTTTATGTTTTAATGGTTGCAAATTTGGATACATTATATTATATATATATAAAAATTTACAAAATAAGAGAAGAATAACAAAATAAATTTAAGATGAAGAACACCAAAATATATAATATTATTCATTATCACACACAATTTACATATCAACGTACCATGACACAAAAACAACAAACATTCTATCACATAAAAAGCAAAGTAACAAACATTTCTATCAGATAAAAAACAACGCATTAGACAACTGTGGAACCAATATTTTCAACATTTGAATATCCACAGGCATCATTCGACAAGATTTTTCATATTCTTGAGCATCAGATATGAATCCTTCATAGATGGGTGGACAGTTCAGATCAAGCCCCAGCCTATCATGCTTTTCAATCTTTGTGTTTAACTCTTCTTCTTGCATCTGTTCTCCCTGTTATAAAAATTTTATCACAAAAACGATAGAATACAATCATAAATATATTCATGGTATATATACTAAATTATGTGATAAAAAAGTAGTTTACAATTATAAATATATTAATTGTGCATATACTAAATTGTATATAATTATAAATATAAATAGCTCATTAATACAATATAATACCTGTAAATGAAAAATTGTCTCTTGTACTTCGTATGTTGGTGGTAAGTTTGAGTCCAGACACTCTATATTAACTGGCGTGCATCTCTATCAACCAATACTTCAACGGTGAAAGAACTCCTCTTCATAAGGCGGGGGAAAATTCAGATCTAATGACTCACTTCATCCCATCTGTGTGGCACGACAACATTTTATTCTCTGCATTTGTGAACCGATTCCTGTAAATGAAAAAATAGAACATGAGTAAACACTTCTACGTATCGAGAGAGAAAACAATATCTGAATAATACTTTGTAACCACCTAGGAAGGAGAAGAGACGTGGGTAATGTGGAGGTGGGAGTAGTTTATATCTGAATATTACCTCAACTAACGATCTTTCTTTGATTATTACTAAAGTAACATATATATAACATGTTTTTTTATATATTTTTTAAAATTAACATAAAATACAAATTATTAATTTTTTTTTTAAATAAGAACTTATTTAGCTCACTATTCCATATATTTATGCTTACTAAAGTTCTTAAACCTTATATAACGATCATTATTTATATGAGATACTTATTTTAACATAAAATTATTAATTGTATGATATCCTAAAAAAGCTACCGCAAATTGATATTTTACGCTTTTTTAAAATTAACAAAATACAACCTATTACCTCAACTTTTTTAAAATTAACAAAATACAAACTATTATCTCAACTCTTATAACGTGTTT